CGAGACCTGCCTGGGTAACTTGGCGAGACCTCATCTCTACAATAAATTAAAAAATTAGCCGGGCGTGGTAGCGCGCGCCTATATTTCCAGCTACCTGGAATGCTGAGGCAGAAGGATTGCCGGAGCCCAGCAGGTCGAGGCTGCGGTGGCCGGAGGCGGCCACTGCACTCCAGTCTGGGCGACAGAGTGAGACTCCAACTCAAAAAAAAAAAAAAAAAAAAAAATTCCTCCTTGGAGGAATATTAAAAATAAATAAGCCGATGTAAGTAACACAAGGGAAGGTTCTTAGAATTATTGCAATTGGCCGGGCTCGGTGGCTCAGCCTATAATCCCTTTGGGAGGCTGAAGTGAGTGGATTGCCTGAGCTCGCGGGTTCAAGACCCTCCTGGGTAACTTGGCAAGACCTCATCTCTACAATAAAAATTTAAAATTTAGCCGGCCGTGGTAGTGCACGCCTGTAGTTCCAGCTACTCAGAAGGCTGAGGCGGAAGGATCGCTGGAGCTCAGCAGGTCGAGGCTGCGGTGGCCAGGAGCAGTCACTGCACTCCAGTCTGGGCGACAGAGTGAGACTCCAACTTAAAAAAAAAAAAGAATTATTGCAATTGTGTATAGAAAAATAAGTAAGGATAGGAGACTGAAGTTAAGGGATTCTTACACTGTACTTCATCAAGTTTAAGATGACAAAGCTGTGTCCCAATTTCAGAGAAGTCCAAGTATGTGTCTTAAAATACATAAAATATTGTATAGTATCAGGTCTCATAAGTTTTCTCATGGAAAATGAGACAAATTTTGAATTGCCCTTTATGATTTCATGTGGGAAACGTGACATCATTTGGAAAGCATAATGTATACTTACGTGAACTTGCATGGAATGATGTCTATGAATGAATGAAGTTGTACAATAACATATACAAGTTGCACAACATAAAAACCAATTATGTTAAACACAGAAGCGCACTCAAAACATAAAATATGGCTGAACATTTTTAGGTATAGTTCAGGAGAATTCTGGAGATATATATACAGCAAATTGCAAATATTGGCTACCTCTATGGGAATCAAAAGGAACTGGACACAATTGTGGACATTAAATGTTTTATAAGAAGATATATATGTATACAGAATATAAAATAATTTTTTTTTGAGTTGGAGTCTTTCTCTATCATCCTAGGCTGGATTGCAGTAGCATGCTCATCGTCACCACAGCCTTGAACTGCTGGGCTCAGATAATCCTTCTGCCTCAGTCTTCCAAGTAGCTGGAACTACAGGCACACGCCACCGTACCCAGCTAATTTTCTGACTTATTGTAGAGACAAGGTCTCGCCAAGTTGCCTAGGTTGGTCTAGAACCCCTAGGCTCAGGCAATCCTCCCATCTCCACCTCCCAAAGTGCTGGGATTACAGGCGTGAGCCACCACGCCCGGCAAATAATTTTTTTAAAAGAATACATTATATACTAGAGTTTAAAATCCACCTATAATCTCACCAAAAGAATAAAAAAGAAAATTACCCATAATTCTACCACCGAAAAGTAATTCATGTTACTTACTGCTTATAATCTGCCTTTCTCAAGTTTTTCCACCAGCAAATATAATAGATCTAACTAATACTTTAAAAAATAAAATAAAATAAAATAAAAAGACAGTCATGTCTACCCCCATAAAGCAGCTTTCTTTTTGGATAGAATTGTATCAATGGAAGGTCCATCATCTCAGGCCCACGGGCAGAGACGATGATCAAGAGTCATAGTTGTGTTGTAAAGTCTATTTGTTTTTTTTTCATAACAACAACAAAAAAAGCTCATTCAGCAAAGCCTTTGAAAACATAAGAAGGAAAAACATGAAGTGGTGGCAGGTTGTGGGAACCACTATGGTGACCCGATGGGCTGCCACCTCAGGAGGGCCGTGACTGCCCCCTAGGGGTGAAAGACTCACTTAGCATCTCAGGAACTTGATCCCTCACCTGCTAACATGACCATGAATTTGTTTTGATGGGTCATCATCACTATGTTTTTTGGTTTTTATTTTTTGCCTGTATCACTTCTTCCAGGAATCATCACTATTTTTATTATGTAACTGCGGTCTACTTTTCCATTTCTCTTCTTGATCTGTGGACAAAGGTGTAGACAGTAGCTAGTCTTCAGCTCTGCCTTACTCTATTTAAAGAAGTTCACCAAAGACAAAAGGTGAACGTGGCGTCTGGGCTGGAAAATGCAATTCAGACAGCAGCCTGGGAAGGATCCAACTTAGTGGTTTCATGGGGGTGGGCAGAGGAGGGAGAAGTGTTGAAAGAAAAGACTTTTCAAAAATATTTACCAGACAAAGAAAAAGAACTAGGCTTGTGACCAAGACATTCCAAGGAGACACCCTTAGACATAAGCAATTTTCCAGGCCTGTTCTGCAGAAAGGTGGAAATGGTCAATTTTCACCCCCTCAGAAGCCCCAGCTCATACTTCTTCTGAAAATAAACACAGTTAGAGCCAAAGACACCTTCCCAAACGAGTCATAATTCAAAAAAAGACTCGGCTTGTCACTTGCAGGGGAGTGCACAGAGGACATTTTGGAGCCAGGGTTCTTGGAAAGACTATACGCGTTGACTGCTGTAGCTAAAGGAGAAAACTGGAAAAGAGGCTGGGTGAGCCATTCTCTCCCAGTATAGTATTTTTTTTTTTTTTTTTTTGGTTGGAGTCTTACTCCATCGCCCAGGCTGGAGTGCAGTGGCAAGCTCATGGCCACCGGATCCTCGATCTGCTGGACTCAGGTGATCCTTCCACCTCAGCCTTCCACATAGTTGGAGCTACAGGTACACAATACCATGCCCGGCTAATTTTTTTATTTGTTCTAGAGATGAGGTCACACCAAGTTGTCCAGGCTGGTCTCGAATCCATGGGCTCAGGCAATCCTCTTGCCTCGGCCTCCCAAAGTGCTGGGATTATAGGCGTGGGCCACCACACCCGGCCAGCCAGTGTAGTTTTGAAAAAGAAGCTCCAGGGCAGATGAGGAGGAGGATGGCCCAAGTCACTGAAGGAAGTCATTCATATTATTCCTTTTCTTTCCGAAGAGGTTTTATAGTCTGAATGCTTGGTGTATGCACTGTCTGGTTTATGCTCAATGGAGCTCAGAGCTTTTCCAGAATCTTCCCACATGGCCAGGACCCTCTTTTCCAGCATGCTATGAACCTTGCAGCCTGAGGGACCAGGAGCATGACTGCAGTCATAAGTCATGCTCCTCTTTTGAATAACATCCTTCAGTGGCCTGGCGGTGCCTCTTCCATCCATAATTCACAGGGCTTACCCATGAGTTTGTCCACACGATTGGGCCAATGTCTTCACCCTTGGGCAAATATACCTTGTTCATTACCATGTCCATGCATTTGCCCACAAAATAACGCTTGTCTAGAATGTCACCTCCATCTCCTTTCTCCTCTATCTAGAGTCTACTTGCCCTGCCAGGTCCAATTTTAGTTATCTTAGTTTTTTTTATCTCACTCTGTCACCCAGGCTGGAGTGCAGTGGCGTGATCATGGCTACCATAGCCTCGACCTGCTAGGTTCAGGTGATCCCTCCACCTCGGCCTTCCAAGTAGCTGGGACTATAGGCATGCATTACCATGCCTGGCTAATTTTTTAAATTCTTCATTTATTGTAGAGACGAGGTCTCACCATATTGCCCAGGTTGGTCTTGAGCCCCTGGGCTCAGGTAATCCTCTCCCTTGGCCTCCCAAAGTGCTGGGATTACAGGCATGAACCACCGTGCCCAGCTTAGTTACCCTCCTATGTGAAACCCACTCCAGTTCTCTTTCAGCCTCCTCTGAACACTCTTCCTGTCACGACTATGAACAATTGGATGACAGTCCCCTTTTCTTGTGGGCCTGTGCTGTGTGCACTGCGTAGCTTACCTGATTGGATAGTATTGAATACTAGGCACCTATGTAGTACTTACCGTATAAGGTACTATTCATGTCCAGTATACAGATGAGAAAAACTTAAGTGTCAGAGATATTAAGTAACTGGGCTAAGGTTATACAGCTAGCTACCAAGATTCGATGAAAACTGCCCCTGGCTCTCTCTCTATCTTCACCTTGTGTTACTTCCTCTCTTAATCTCTGTACTCTTAGCTGGGCATGGTGGCTCAAGCCTGTAATCCCAGCACTTTGGGAGGCTGAGGCGAGAGGATTGCCTGAGCCTGCGAGTTCGAGACCAGGCCTGGGCACCATGGTGAGACCCTGTCTCTACGACAAATTAAAAAATTGGCTGAGCTTGGTAGCAAGTACCTGTAGTTCTAGTTACTTGGAAGGCTGAGGCAGAAGGATCACCGGAGCCCAGCAGGTTGATGCTGGGGTGGCTGTGAGTGTGCCACTGCACTCCAACTTGGGTGATGGAGTGAGATTCCAACTCAAACAAAACAAAACAAAACAAAACAAAACAAAACAAAACAAAAAACCAAAAAAACCCTCTGTACTCTTGTCCCACCGGCTTTGGGTTTCTTTCCCTCAAAAAACAAACCACAAAGCCACACTGAGTCCCACCCCAGGACCCTTGTACTGCCTTCTGTTCAGAATGCCTTCCCAAACTTCCACAGAACTGGTCCTTGCTTTTTTTTTTTTTTTGAGTTGGAGTCTCACTCTGTTGCCCAGACTGGAGTGCAGTGGCACCTC